GGATCACTCAAAATGAATACTTCTAAACTATGTAAATATTCATCAGCACGTTATACATAGGCCTATTATAATAACACATAGGCCTCCTAAACATTATTTTTAAAAATCTTAAATCCATAAATCTCAAGCCATGTCTTTTGAGACACAGAAATGTGATATTGTATGGTTCAGTTTGGTTGCTATCCTTTTGCAAGCTCTATAACGTTTTGTTTTTATTATTATTATTTAATAATAATAATTATTATGATGATGACAGTGATGATGATGGCGATAGTGATAATAGATAATAATATTAAAAAGTGAATTGTGCTAAAAGCGAAAAAGTAAGTTGTGATTTGTTGGTCATAATTATTAAAGTATAGTTAAAGCTTAGTAAGCTATAGTTAGACCTACGTTTTCCTGGATATTAAGTAGATCCCTGATAAAAGATCATGAAAAGTTTGTTTGCGCTTCATTTTGACTATATAATGATGATGAATTTTACTATAAAAGTGTCATTTCCGGCCATGAGGTACTATTTCCTAAAATTTTCTCATCTCAGTCCCAATTATGGTGGGGCTGAGGTGGTTGTGAAATCACGGCTTTGAATATGTAAAGTACATAGGCCTACTCAATGACAGTGTTTATAAGCTTTATTTTTTATGGTACATCGCACATAAAGATCTCTATGGTTGCCAAAAATCGCTGATAAAAGATCATGAGAAATTTGTTGGCGCTTCATTTTCGGTATATATAATGGTGATGAGATGATGATGAATTTTACTAAAACCAATTTTCTAGTCATCTAGAGGTACTACAGTATTTCAAAAGTTCGCACCTCAGCCCCAACCATGGTGGGTCTGAGGTGGGTGACGAAATATCCCCCTACCACAGCCCTCCACCTTTCAAACTAGATTGCGCCCTTCCTGGGTATGACATTAAACTCCATCGAGTCGACACCTTACTCATAGTAGGCCTATGTCTTAGTGATTGTTGATGGACGAGAATGCATAAATTTGTTTTTAGGATTTGATCTATTTTGAAATGCCCATTTTTCGTGATTATGAATATTTTGGATAAAGAATGTTTTCTTTAATTAAAAAAAAAAGAAAAATATGGGCCGCCCTATCCAAATTTAAGTCTGAGAGTGTAATTTTCGGCCATCTAGAGGTGCCCTAATCATACATTTTCTTACCTCAGCCCAAACCATGGTAGGGCTGAGGTGGGTGGTTCCTCAATCTGTAGAAGTCTCTCCCTGGGTCACCTCTCTTTTGAATTTCTGGATCCACCAGTGTAAGTTTTATATTATTTACTAATATTATTTATGAGGCGTTTATTGCAATTTTCACTTTATCATCTCAAAACCGTCCTAAAAACCTTCAGAGCGCGCTACTTTCCACGGGGCTTCGCACTTGACCCCACCTCCCACGGGCCATACGTACCTCGTATAACAGCTCCCCCTTTCAAAATCCTGGCTACGTCCCTGTATTCAGGAGAATAA